ACCCTTAAACCCCGGATTTCGTTGTGGACTACGTTGACGTACGCAAAGGATTCCAACCCTATGCTCTTGAATCCCTAAACCCAGAGACCTCACCTGATAAGATCAACGGAGAAGCATGTTTCCGGATTTTCCGGGGCTGACAGCGGCTGTCCACGGCTTCTTGAACGCATTGCCCATTTTAGGTCTTGCGACATGCAACAACATGCTAGAACCATACAAACCCCCGGAAGCCCCATGCCCCAAAACCCTAAACTCAAACCCCTCAACCCAGAACCCCAAAATTCGAAACTCAGAAACCCAAGCTGGATAATGTAGGGGCCTCAATAATTTGAATAGATTTTTGGGGGGTTCTTGTTCTAAATACATTGTTGTATATCCCAAAACCCTATTCTAAGTATCAGCAGGGCCAAGAGTCCACATCTCCTTGCTGGGGCAAGCTGGTCGCTTGTGCCTCAGATTCGCTTAGGGGGTGCGTCTTGGACTTTACTTGGGGTTCTGGCTTTGGGGCGTTGCGGTTTAGTGCAGGGCTTCACTCTCATGGTGTTAGGGATCGGATACCCATATGCTCCATAGTAGTTCCGTTTTTGGGGTTCATGTTTAGAACCCTATAAGGTAATCCCAAAAAGGAACTACTATGGAGCCTCTGGATAGCTACTCTTTTGGGAGCAGTCTTTGCGGGCGACCTTGCATGGTTTGGGCGGGGCTGTGCATTCTACAGGCTTCTCCCCGCATGTCACGGGTGCTGGGACATCCTGGACCTTACACAACTTATTTTTTCAAGGTTCCCTATTACGACTTCCTTATATAAGGCCTTAAAGCTGTAGGTTATGCCCGACTCCAGGCTTCTGAGCTGAAATTCGCTGGCAAGCTGCTTGTACTCCATAGGTGCCACGTCCGAGGGGACAAAGCTGCACTTGTCGACCTGTCGCCCAGACTTACAGCATCCAAAGAAGAGAATCAAATCACAGCCCCCACCCTGATCCAGATAAGCGCAGGATGACTTTTCAGGGATCCCTTCTTTGAGATCCTTTCAGGGGTCTAGGGATCGGTTGCCTAGGTCCAAAGAGCAGCTGCTCCGGCATTGAAGAGACACACAAAAGTCCTCCGTTTCGTGAAGTTCAGCACTGTTTTTGTTATAGGGTTTATAAGGTTTAGGGTTGAGGGGGATTGTCATTCGGGTTGCAAGCACGTGAGCCGTGCTCAACGGTTTAAAGTTGGAGTTGCACCACGCCCCTGTCATTTAGCGACACACCTTAAATCATCAATTGGAAGTCCTGTAACATCTGAGGTCGACTCCTTCTTTCAGGGGTCAGTTGGTTTCTCGTGGAACTCTTTCTTTTTAAGACCTTGCCAAAGCCTATGAAACCTTCATAAAACCCTAGGAACTTTTGAAGCACACTGTAAACATTTTACAAAAGCCCCGCTAGCCTCGGCGGCCGGTGCGTTCCAGGTGCCATTCACCTGGTACTCCAAGTACTGCTTCTGCCTCCGCTGGCAATTCGGACTTTTCTTGATTCTTTGGTGTTTAGGGTTTGGCTTTTAGGATGGGGGCGCGTAGGGCTTAGGGTTGACGAGCGAGGTTGTTACAACCTTGCCGCGATATTGTAGGGCTGCTTCTGTCTGAAGAATGACAAAGTTGATAGGAGGCTACGCACATTTCAGGGTTTGAAGTTAAGCTGAACTTCCTAGACTAGACGTCCAGGGTTTAGGGCTAACGCGAGCTTGATATTCTTCACAATGTTACACCATTGCATAACGATCTAGATTCCAGAATTTCGACGTATGCAAGCGGCATAAGCATTTTAGAACACATGTCTGGCGTTCGTTCCGCTCCGAAGGAACGGCAATGATAGCAACGGCGGTGACCAGAGTTGTCGTACGTATCGGAGTTTCCATTTTTTCTAAAGTACTCTGTATCCCCCAGTTATGAAGGTACCCAAGTCTGGCAGGGACACTCCCCCAGCGTTTGAGAAACCTGTTCTATTCTAAGCCCCCAAACTACGCGGCCTTTGAGCAAAGCTGATCAAAACTCAAGCCGAGAAGCAGCTGGAAGTAGTTGTCCAGGAGGTAAAGCTTATCCTTCAAGGGGTTTATGTTTTGCTTTCAGGCTGGGCCATGTCCAGCAGTTTGAGAGTTTAGGGTTCAGGGGCATCTGCGGACTTTCTTGAAACAGGATTCGAAATGATGCAACATTATTATTGAGCGGCTGTTCGGTGGCGGCAGAGAGAGAGAGAGAGAGAGAGAGAGAGAGAGCAAAAAGAGAGAGCGACAGAAACAAGGAAATCTCCGAATCGAGCGAACGAGCCATCGAGAGCAACTCTGAATCGGAACAGCAGCGGCAGTAGCAACAGCTTGAGGAACTTCTAGTGACATCAGTTCATCGCAGATGGGTCGGTCTCCGCTCCAGCTTCCTGCCCAACAAATCCTCATACTATAGGGGCCTTAATAGTCAGAGCAGGGTTTTGGGGCCCACTATACTATAACTACAATGCGGACCTCCCCCAAAGTAGTACTGGTAATCATTTAAGCCCCCATGTATTCCACCTCCCCGACATCCACAACTTTTTTGAAATCCCCGAGGCCTGGCCGGCAAGGAATCCCGGAGACAGGGTGAGGCCATACTCCTCCTTGTCCTCGAGTCAGCTTCGAAACGAGCGGTTCTACTACATTGGAGTATACTCTAAGATAATGTAATATGTTCTAATATACTATCATGCACTATAATCATGCTTTATAATTTCCTATGATGTACCATCATACCAGACCCTACAGCTTAAAGGAGCAGTCATGAGATTCCAAGGCTGTGGCCATGGACCATTGGAATGCAACGGCGCCGCTCATGAACTGTCCCATGTCCTGTGCACGAGGCTTTTGGGTGGGCTTATATATGTATATGTATATGTATATGTATATATATATATATATGTAAACTATAGGGTTGAGGGTTTTGGGTGGGCTTATCCACCACGATTTCTGCACGGCTCTCTTCCGCATATGCTATGATGCTTCGGCTTGTCTGCAAGAGGTCTTCGGAAGTGCAAAAACCCGAACACCCCAGCCCAAACCTTAAACCCCAAAACCATGAACCCTAAACCTTAAACTCTAAACCCAAAACCCCGAACCCTTAGCTGAGCCCCCCTTTGTGCTGGCTCCTCGCCCAGGAAGTGCTTCACATCTGGCCAGGTACGGCCACCTTCCACTCGATAAGTTCCACCACTGCTACAGGTTGGGTTCAGGGGTTTAGAGTAGCGGCCTAAATAAATGGGGTCTATAAGGGATCTATAGTACAAGGGCCTTCAGAAGTAGAACAAGGTAACATTGACCTTCATAACCCTACAGGGTCTTAGGGTACGTTTTGCTAGAAATTGCGCTCAAGAACGCCAAGGAATGGTTCTTGCCCAGGAACTTACTTCACGTTGCCATAAATAGCAAAGCATGATACTTACCAAACGGTCCCTACTCGGGTAACTTCCATTGAAGTTCCTCCTTGAGAAGAACACTTAAGGGGCTGCTTCTGGTGTATAGCGCTCCCACCTTTGAACCTAAGCCATGCGATACGTCAAGAACTAAAGCCGGCACATCAAAAGCTCTTCAAGTGCAAACCCTTATCGCGCTTTGCGCTTTAACGCTAAACCCTTGAAGCCCTGTAACCCTCAACCCCTCAAAGCTCGACTTTGGGAGGCTCTTTTGACCTTGAGCCTTTTCCGCGTGCGACCGAGACCAGAGCGTGCAACGTCTCAGCATGGAATTCAGGTAATATACATTGGCCCGGGGGCGAATGGGTTGCGACCGGGTTTGCGGGTTTGTCTCAGAGTCTTAGAGTGTGGTTCGCTAAAATGAATGGAGAGATGGCCAAGGAGAAAAATCTGCCAATACCTGAACCAGCACCGCGCCTGGGTACGGGCATTTCGTCTTGAACACGCCCAAATTGCATCCGAACCTCAGACTTTAGATCGTTGGAATCCCACCCCACTCACCACCCGCACCCCCCCACCCCACCTCCTTTGTACCCCCCCCTTTTACCAAGACTTAGAAGCCCATGGTAGGGGGACTTCGGTCGTAGGGTTTTTTGCAGTCTGAAGACTGAGGCTCTAGGACTCCAATGTATTATAATGTACTTTACTGTATGATAGTATAGTATAATTTATTATAATATATTATTATGTACAACAATGCCCCGACAAGCGTCTTCCCCCCCCGAGTGCAAATGAACGGTCTTTGAGCTTGCGTCTAAGCCAAGAAACCGAGTGGATTGATACAAGCTGTATATATATATATATATATGTATATGTATATGTATATGTATATGCAGATGATGTACACACAGATAGCCACACACACACACACCCACACTCGCACACAGACATAAGTATAGAACATATTGTATTATATATATATATATATATATATATATATATTATAAACACATGCACGACTTATCACATATGTGTATACAGATGACAACGTACATTTTGCTTATACATCGAAACATACGTACATATGCCATAAATACCGTAGACCCTCGGATTGCCATCCAGGGGACTCGCTGAAAATGAAGGGCACTGAGAAGTCCTCGAAATCCTCCGACAGCTTTTGCGGGGCGAGCTCGACCATTGGGGTCTTCTTACAAAATCTCCGCCGGGCGGTGAGGTCCCACTCATAGTCAGCGTGCCGGCAGGCGTCTTGAACGGAGCGTAATAGCAGAAACGGCAAGACAAGACTCATCCCGACCACAAGCATGAACAACTTCGACAAGACTGATCACTACAACAATCATAGCAAAACCGCAGACCCTAAACCTGGGACATAGGCGATCTGAATCACATTCAGATGACACACCCACTGGTCACTGGCGGTTCATATGATGATCTAACACAATGTCACACAGGCGCACTTGAACTTGAGTACAAACATAATCCCAAGATGCCCGAACTGTATCGACCATGTCGGTATCCTTAAAGAAAGTCGCACGTAGCTCGCCATGGCTGAAACATCCGGCTTTAATGTTGAACCCTATCGTCACTCTTTGGCGCGCTCTGAAACGACATGCGGCCCATCAAGGGCACCAACAACTCTTTCGAACACTCCGCACATCTGCACCCGCCCTCGTCCTGCTTGATATCCTTGTATGGTGAATACTGGAAGTTGTCGGCCTTTCCGTCACCTGGATACGTTTCCTGAGCTGGCAGACAGCTTGCCAAATTGTTCCGGGCGCACCCCATTGTCATCACGCAGTTGGGTGGTTTAGTATCAAGCACTTATGTTCTACCAAGTTTGCATTTGCAAAGGGGGACGAACATCCCTTGCCACCCAATGCCCGATTGGGGTGTCGTATTCTTGATCTCAGAGCGAAACCACTGGACATCTGTCAGAAGGTCCATCCCTTACACAAAACATGTGATCATGTAGGATCATTAAACACCTCAGCACCAACATCTGTGCAAATCTGAACCTCTCATTAATAATTTGTGCATTTCCTTCCGGAGCGACGTGCAAACGCATCGCTTGCTTTCAGAATTCCTTGCCAAGCTGCATCGCACCACGAGTAGACGTTCAAGCCATAAGCATCAACGGCATCAGCTTCGCTTTCCAACGCGCAGGTCAAGTAACTCGGCGGGTACATGACATGCGGCTGAACACTCTCGTACAGACGGGCGCACAGTCCAAGGCTACAAGGACCAAGTGGTATCGGGCTATCGGGACATCACACAGGTGGCTTACTCTGCGTGCGTAAGCATATCTGTGCTGCCTGCATTACAACCATAGATCCCAGTGCTCTCCAAGGGACTCGGCGACGACCTCCCGGAAGCACACGGGCTGTGGCTACGGAATATCTAACACGGACTCGTCCAGCCCCAAAGCACAAATGCTCCCTGGGACTCCAACCCCACAGTTGAGGACTATTGCTTAACACATACTGCTCTGATTCTATGACAGATGACTCGAACAAACGGATGCTCGAGGTTTTGGACGTTTCTAGTATCTTCGGAACGGTGCCTTACGAGCAATGCCGCCACCGGTGTCGACATCGGAGTAGATCAGCGGCACCTTGCCTGGGAAACTGGGTTCTTGTTCAGGAAAGCAGCTATCACAAATACAGGGCATGACATCTCTACATGGTGTGATCTATCTATCTAACCGACCAAATGTTCATAACTCGTAGATTTTTCGGGTTCTGATACTCATGCCCAAGCAGAACCCAGAAAACCCTCAAACCCTAAGACTTGCGCCACCGAAGGGTTCTTGTTCGGAGCGGCGGATTCCGGGTTTAGGGTTCAGGGTCTCCCAGAACTCCAAAAACTGCAGCAACCTCTTTGCATCTCGCTCCCCTCATAAGCGAAGCGAGTCGCGCATGTTCTCCGCGCAGTCGGCCTGTGCTCAGGTCCCAGGAAATAGCAATATAGGGGCCTTAATAAGTAGGAGAGTGTTTTGGGTTCATGGATACTACAAGTATCATAGGGGATCCCCAAAACAATCTAGGTAATTTTTAAGGCCCCCCTAGTATGTAGACCCTTAGTGGTAGCGTCCCCACGAAGCCTCCCTTTACTAAACCCCGATGAGTCCCTGCACACTGGGCCCTGAACACTACGAACAAGACCTCACAGGAAACAAACCTTGAAACCTGAAGCTCTACCAACCCCAAGTCAAGGCTCTTCCATCAGCGACGTATGTTACGCAAGTATCAGGATGTATGTTGCACGTGATCGTCGAAGACCTATCTGGGTCGGACAGGAGGGAGTTGGTGCTCCAACCCGCCATCTGACCTTACAAACTGGCCAGTGTTAGGGATGCGCAACAGCGATCTCATGCCGGCTACATGACTTGGTCAGCAAGATTATATACAATGGGAATCGCAGCTCCTGCCACTTCCACCTTCTCGGACTGAACGGAGACCTGGACTCGGCCTGCAGGACAGCCTCCCGCCTGGTAGTTGTGAAGATCTCGCACGAAGGCTTTGACACAGGGGAAGGCCGAGTAGCCATTCCTGTGGTGGCAAGGGCTTTGACAGTAGTCGAGCATCTCGATAGTCGCACTTTGGCTGACACGCCTACAAAGGAGAATGACAGCACTCATCAGAGCGAGCTGCCAGCCTAAAAACGATCTTGGAAGGGCTCAAACCTCTGCCCTGGTGCCAAAACTCTACAATCTACAAATACCCCTGTGGTGGATGCCTACACCGGTGGAGCCACGCTTCTATCCACTGCGCAGAAAGACAACATCTGTGTCGAATTCTTCAACCTACATCTACATGAAGCGAAACCATTCACTTGGGGCCCGGACTTGTCCAGCTGTGCCAGCTCGTTGGCCGCTGTGAACATCAACGTATTGTTGTACTGGCTGAACCTTCAGGTGCACATGCTCACGGCTTAAAAGTCTGGAATGCTCATTGGGGCAACGTCTGGCGAAAGCCTCCCTGGTCATCCGAAATCTGAACCGAGAAATTGCAAACCGACCTGATCTAAAACTCAGTACGTCAGCATGAAATAGTGTTTTGCAAATCTTTAGTTGAAGGTCTGAATGCTTGTAGGCTGATGCATGACACGTATAACCTGCCACTGAATCCCGCGATCCCTCCAAACTGCATGTAAGGTTCTCTTTCATCAGAGTTTTGGCAAAGCCGAGCAGGTTGACGCCCACGTTGCCGTATTCTTCCAGGTCCTCTGTATAATTCACATTTCAGAGGACGAGTTATGACTCATGCTGCAAAATGTAGGAGCTTAGCAGTAGCAGCAGCGACAGTAGCAGTGCCGGAAATGCGAACTCAAGGAGCCCCAGATCCCGATACAAGCACTAGTATCCCACACCCCGATACCAGCACTCCCCACGCATCCTTGGTGTAGCACTCGGGAGCCGGGAAGGCTGGGAGGAAGCCGTAGTCCTTCAGAGCTAGGCTCTCAGGCGCTTTTGTTCTTCTTGGGGGTTTTACGCCCTTCTGGGCTTTCGGGCGCTAGGGTCAAGGGTGTGAGGGTTTAGGGTCAATGGGCGTAGTGTGGACTGTTAGTACAACAACAGCAAGAACAAGCAGAAGAACGGCAGCAACAACAAGAACAAGCCCAAGAACCAGACCATGAACAAGAACACGAACAAGAGTAAGCACAAGAAAGATAACTCATGATAATAATAATAACAACAACAGCAGCAGCAGCTGCGGCACCAGCAGCAGCGGCACCAGCACAAATCCCGACAAAGACCAAGGGCAAAAGCCGCAGCAGCAGCAACATTTCATTCACACGCAGCGGGAGGATACTGTCTGAGGTGAAACTTAACGTCCACGCTTTGCGAGGGATCGACCTGCTGCTCTGCTTGCTACTTGCGCGGTCACTTCATGACGAGCCGTGCCTTAACACAGCACTCGCACACGCTCCGCCCCTCAAGGCTGCAAGCAATGAAGTCGGAATCGGACGTGTCGTCAGTGACTCGAGCTGCAGACTCTGGCACTAATGAGGGAGTTAACCGGCTGATTTGCAATGTATCGCTGACTGATTGGCGACGTCCATTTTGCACACTGCTGTCTCGCGAGAGTGTCTAGCCTCGCTGTGAAGGCTCGGTACGAACCACTAGCTCTATGTTATAGTAGAGGCGGTGAGGCAATGAAACACTCAGTAAAGGCAGGCCAGGCGCCATTTCCAGCCCGTTGTTGCTATTTGTAGATGGCGGAGCAACTCCTGCCGGACTTGTGCTGGTGACATGAAGCTCTCCTGTCCCTGGATGGGAGATCGTTGAGGTCACAGCCTTTGGCGGTGGTCCCAGGGGAGAAACTCCTCCCGGGACTCCACCTTTCACTGGCACTCCAGGTGCCTTACCTGGTCCCGGTGTCCGATCTGTGCTAGATCCACTTCCTGACAGGTTAACAGGCATCGGAGGCGGCGGGCCCTTAGGCCCAGCTGCTTTGGGGGCTGCTTTAGGGGCTGCTGTGTCTTCGGAGTCGGACTCCCGAATGGAGTCACTGGCTGGCGGCGACCTGGATAGGTGGGGCCGACGTCGCACTGGAGGAGGGGTTCGGGAGGTCGCTCTGTTGCCACTCTTCTTCGGTGTTTCAGGCATGGCTTCTACAGTCGAGACAGCTGGTGAGTTGAGCCTGTACGAGAAGGCAAGTAGAGCTTCCAGAAAACTTTTGGCTGACAACTCACTTGCAGATCCGGGCCCACGACTTCGCACGGAGCTTCACATGCGACCTCGGGGTATACTTGCTGTCTGGTGATGAAATTGAAGTGACCTTCAGCCTCATAACACAGATTTTTGCGTGAGCAGCTGCATTATCAGTGTGGGGAGGGACTCCACCATTAGGTGAGGGTCCTCACGATCAGAGCGGCCTGTTGTCGCCTCCGTACTTAGTACCTGATTTCAGGCTCTGGTAGTACTCTATGACAGAAGGGGGCACTTCAGAAGGGGTGAGAATGACGCCGTTCTTGCTACGGAAAAATTGCACCCCTACCTGCATGGCTCTGCGTGGATCGACCGCCACCAGCATCGACGAGCTATCTCTGAATCCAGAAACACCAGGTCTCCCATAGTCCCGATCCGAGACGAAGTGAACATGCTGTCGTCCCTCTCTGCCACGTCCGCCTTTGCCGCGGCCCTTGGAAATCTTGTTCTGAGGCAGAAGGCCTCGTTGGCGTATGGAGTCATACAAGGACCAGAATGTGCCATGATACAGCATTCTGGGGAGCATCTCCTCCGTGAGTTCCTCCAACACCTCATTGGAGTCCACATCAGAGCGAGAATGTCCTTGCAGAGCCCTGATGTACTTCTGGCCTTGGCAATCGCCCAGCTCGTACCTGCCTTTTGCGTTACTCCGAACGACCTCCATGAGGTCGCCTGCCGTGGCGTGCTGGGCCTGCACTCTTGGCCATCTCAGGACGTCCTCTAATTTGGCCCAACCAGCTGAAGTGACGCTGATGTAGGGTTTATGTCCGTGCCGGAGCGAAGCTGCTAGAGCCTTCGAGACTTCGAACGAGAAGCTGGTCTCCGGCTTCGTAGAGGCAGTGCAATAGTCCCCTAGATCGCCTGGTTGGCCCTCCCAGGCCACTATAGTGGAGCTACGTGGCGTTGTTGAGCTGTGGTCAATCTCTGACGCCATGGTCGGGGGAGAAACTCCACCCTGTGAGCTGGACGCCTGCTCACAAACCGGAAGGGGAGCAACTCCTCCTTCCTTGACTCCACTTGACGAGGCTTCGCCAGGCAGCTCGTATCCCAACGCCAAAAAGGATTCCCGTGCTTGTCTCAGTGGTATCTCCAACAAGCCACTCCACTCTCGGAGGTACTCACCTAAGGTGAGTGTCTCCTTGGTTGATATTTGCAGTAGCAGCGCTCGGATTTTGACTGCATCATAGGAGTATATCAGTTGGTTTGTTTTCTTACCACGTTTTTGCGATCCAGAGTGCGCAGCCTCCACCTCAAACATGGGCCGCACGAATATGTGCCGAGGTCCTATCCTCACCAGACAACTGTAACCGGCAGCAAGATGCCTGTTTGACATCCTGTGAAGATACACGCCTGGTCGTGCCTCGAAGCTTCGCGTGCCGGAGAGGTCAGGTGTCGAAGGTAGTAGCCTGCCTGTGGCCAGTATCCCATGCAAACATTCCAGGTGTGTGCCGTGGAACGCAACCTCGCTGTCCCCTGCAGGAAGAATGTTCGGTGAAGAATACTCAAAACGAAACCACCCATTCTCCTCAGCTGTGGGATATCCAAGCTTCGGATGCAGAGGCTCATTGGCAAGTCCCCGGCGAGAGGCCAGGAAGGTCTCCAGGAGAGCATTGGCTACCTCCGGGGAGGGTCGTTCCACCTGATTGAGGCCATCTCGCAGCTGCTGAGTTACTGTCACCATAATTCGGTGATTGTTCAGGTCAGTGATGTTCCCATCACAGTCTGAAATCAGACTGGGAAAGGGGGTATAACCAGCTGACTGAAGAACTTTGATCGCAGCTTCCGTGATGGGGTCCCCCGAGGGAGGATCTCCACTCTTGGCCTTTGCTGCTGGGGGAGTATCTCCACCCTCGCTTTGCCCTGTACTTCTTTTCTTGGAAGGAGGAGGAGGGGGAGTGACTCCACCCTTTCCGCTTCCCAGCTCTTCCTGTCCACCAGTACCTTTAGAGACTCCTTTATATGCAGGATAGCTTTCGCCGTGAGCACGAGCGGAGCGCCTCCACTGGCGCAGGAAATTGCGATACGTGACATGCGGAAGTTGTTCACGTATCCGTCGCTGGCAGAATTCCTCGTACTCCGCTTGAAACGAGGGATCCTGTGTTGACTCAGGTCTGGACATGATGCTGAGTCTTGAGAGAAAGCTGCGGTTGTTGGCTCAAGCTGGCTTCTAAGCAGGCAGCTGGGCCTAGGCCACTGAGCTCCAGACCACCACGAGGAGACCTGCATCACGGATGGTGGATTGCTGTTGGCTCAGTGTAGCTCAGTGCAGGCAGAATTATTGCAGGCAGCGACTCAAAGCTTTTAAAAACCCCTAGGGAGAGACTCCGCCAGCTGTACACCCCTCGTTGGGGGAGAAGCTCCACCAACTAGGGGAGAAGCTCCACCTGTGACTCTTTAGTTCAAAAACCCCTGGGGAGTAACTCCGCCAGCTCTACGCCTAACGAGGGAGAAACTCCTCTATGTTACAGGAGCTCTTGCTTTGGGAGCATCTCCTCTTCGCACTTGGCTCAGGAAGTGGCGGCCATGAGGTGATTGTAAGATACCTCCCACGTCGCCGAGGCCAGGTTAAGTCTGCCGTCTTCAGCAAAAAACTGAGACCTCAACGTCTGCACATCAGCTTGATAGGCCTCTTGGTATTCAGCAGGGAGATATTTGGCGATGTATCCCGTGATATGGGATTCTCGTTCCATTATCTCCAAGTCGTACCGGTGGTAACCGAGGCTTGCTGGGGAAATCAGGTCTCCAGCGTGGATGCGAACCAAAGAGAGGTACTGCATCCCCTGTTCGACCAGGGCTCTTCGTCTTCTGTGCCGGATTTGTCCCCATTCATCGATTCCCGATATGGAGTGGAGGTGTGTGAGCACCTTTCGAATCCCACCTTCCGGGAGTATCTCCACGGCAAGGTTCAGGATCTCATCCTTAGTGATGAGCCCAAGCCCCTTCACTCTCTCTAGCAGCTCTGTGAGCACGGCCCAGGGGAGTATCTCCACACCTTGGGACTTCTGGTGCAGAAAGTGCACCGCTGCTATCGTCGGGAGCAGCATCATGGCCAGTCGAGTTGGCGTCTGATCATACATGGTCGAGGAGTTGAACCACAGTCTAATTGATTAGCTTTTGAGCCTGAGAGCTTCGTCATGGAGGAACATGTGCAGCAATTCAAGCGGTGCCAACATGAGTGCAGTGCTCCGCGGGAGGGCCTCCTCGCCATTCGTCGAAGACGCTTCAATCTCCTCACGAGCATGAGCATGCTAGGGCAAGGGGCTAGGTGGGAGCAACTCCTCTTCGTAAGATTTGCTTCGCTTCTACTGAGCTCTTGGTTCCAGTCCCGCCCACTCGTGGGGCAGAGCTGAAGAGATCTTGTCCTCTGGAGAAGATCAGGAGAGCAAATCGCGAATCTGACGAACCAGCGGCGATGGCTGAGTTCCCATTCGCTGGAAATCCGCGTTTATGAGCGAAAATGCAGTGTTGCCAATTAAGGACTGCAAGGTTTCCTGCAGTTCAGATGTGGCCGCCCTGGTTGACAGTTGGATCTGGATTCGGACCGGACCTCCCGTCATGCCTTCGGTCAATGGCCGCGAGGTTTTGAAGAGCTTGATGTGTTCCGGATCTGAGGATATTCTAGTGATTGCGTCCCCCAGGCCTGAAACGACTTGAGCCGTGGTGAGAGGGTCTTCCACCGTCTCGGTCATCTTCTGATCGGTGGGGCTCCACTCCAGGAACGGCCATTCGCCG